CTGGGCTGGGCAACTCTTCCCAGCGCCTCCCCTCCCACCACAGCTGTTGGGAGAGGCATGTCCTGCCCCACCTGTCAGCCACCCAGCATCTCCTTCCAACCACAGAAGAGTGGATCCCTGCACAGGGAAGCTCTTCTGCAGCTGGAAGCAGACCTGTCCCTGCACGGCCCTCCCACTGTGGAGGGAAATGCTTTTCCATGGCCGGGAGGAGACCATGTGCCTGGCAGGCACTGGATGGCTGAGAGGCAAGGCAGGACATACCTCTAATAGCAGTGGCAGGAGAGGAGGAGTTCTCCAGCCCCTGCCCCCAGAGCTGCTGACTTGACAACCAGTGGTTCATGGCCCACTGCAGGTTGGGAACCACTGCTAGAGCACATTTGTGCATCTCAACATAAAATGCTCTAGAATTTCCATCTTTAAAGCTGCCCCATGGTTAGCTGCTGCTGGAGAGGGGTGCATCCATCAAACGGCAAAATCTTGGTTCATACTGCTCATGCAAAAGTGATCTTTTACCAGCTCACTCAGACCACTAGTTATAAATGTATTATCCTGAATATGTCTCGAATTTCCTGTTTTGCCCCCCACAATCATCTTTTAATCACTTGTTAGCTCCCATTAGTGGAGATTAGTGGAAATGCTCGAATACAAGTTAGAAAGCTATATTTTCAAGAAAAAACCAAGGCTTATACCACAGTACAGAACTTACATGAAATTATTCTTTAGAGTAGCAAGTATCAAAAGGGAGCCATGTTAGTTTGTATCTGTAAAAACAACAAGTCATCCTGTGACATTTTAAAGACTAACAGATTCATTTGGGCATAAATGCTCATGGGTAAAACCCCACCTCAGATGGCTAAACCTTGCTTCATACTGAATCTGACGAAGCGGAGTTTTACCCACAAAAGCTTATGCCAAAATAAATGTTAGTTTTTAGGTGCCACATGACTCCTCATTTCTTTAGGAATTTTCTTCTGATACCTACTCTAAGGGTACGTCTAGACTACATGCCTCTGGCGACAGAGGCATGTAGATTAGGCTAACAGACATAGGAAAATGGAGCGGCGTTTTAAATAATCGCCGCTTCATTTAAATTTA